TCAAGGATATTGGCCTCATGTTGTCCAAGTTAGGGGGCTTTCCTGGCTTAGGAATAAGGATCGTGCTGGCCAGCTTCCACTGCTCTGGCACCCTGCCTTCATTCCATGCTGAATTGATCATATCCCTCAGGGTTTCAATTGAATCGTCATCAAGGTTACGCAGGGCCTTGTTTGATATACCGTCCGGGCCAGGGGCCGACCTGCCGTTGAGATCATGCAAGGCTCTTCTGATCTCCTCGATGTTAAAGTAGCCCTCAAGACCTGGATTTGGCGTGCCCTGGTACTGTCTACTTGGTGGTGCCAATCGTCTTTTGATTGGGAGGTACTTATGCACGAGCTGCTGGACAACTTGCTGTTCTGTAGGGCGCCCCATTTCTTTATGCAAAATTCGAGCGGTAACATGCTTTTGATTTGTTTTGGTGGTGTTTTCGTTGAGGAAATGCTTTAACATATTCCATGTCTTGCCATTGCGCATCTGACCATCGACGGAGTTGCAAATTTCGTCCCATTGCTGCCTCGATAGTGCGCGACAATGTTCCTCGACTGATCTGTTTACCTCAGCTATCTTCTTCCTCAGTCTTCGGTTCAGGCGCTGACCCTTCCAACGGTTCAGTAGTGCTTGCTTTGTCTCAAGAAGATGAGCGAGCCGGCTATTCATTCTTTCAACCGGAAAATCTGTGGTAATGGTGGAGGAGACGGATTTGATGTCATCTTTAATCTGTTTGACCCACTGCTCAAAGCCTTGTCTGCGGCCATCTTGTTCCCTTTCCATCCTTATCTTCCTGAACTTATCCCAGTCTGTGAAGTGAAATTCTCTCTGCTTTTTACGCTCCACGGAGAAGGTAGTGGCAAGAATGCAGTGGTCACTCCCTAGGTCTACAGCAAGGTTCATCCACTGGGCCTTCTTGATGTTCCTTACAAATGTAAGGTCCGGGGTGGAATCCCTGCAGCAAGATGTACCAAGCCTTGTTGGTAGGCTGGGGTCTGTGATTAGAGTGAGATCAAGTTCACTGGCACTTTGCCAAAGTCGATTTCCTTTCCCAGTGTTGTACTTGTAACCCCATGTATGATGAGGGGCGTTGAAATCACCTGCTATGACGAGTGGACATTCCCCGGCGATATTAACAGCTTTCTTTAGAACCGTCTTGAACCCTTGCTTTTGTTCCTTTGGACTGCTGTATATATTCAGAATGAAAATGCTCTGACGGTTGCTGGTACCCGGCACGATCTCTACCAAGACGTCTTCCAACCGGCCTGCTTCTATCTTGAGGTCGTGGGTTACGTGCGTTAGTTTGTTGCATACGAAGGTGCAGACTCCCCTCCCTTCAGTATCCCCTATTACAGGCCGGAATCCAGGCAACGTTGCTTGCGGTGAAAGGGTCTCTTGTAATAATATAATATGAGGCTTTTCTTCGCTGCTCCTGATATACTGCTGCAGGGTTGCCTTCTTTTTAAGGTAACCTCTACAGTTCCATTGCCAGATACGAAATGCTTCACGTAGTGCTGCCATAATGGTTATTACATGGGCGGCCAGAGCCTGATGCTGCACCTGTCGACAGGTTTGGTACCACTAGTATTGGTGGCCGAAGGGGTGAGCTTGGTGCATGAGGAGGCCTTGCTGTGTTGTGCAGATCTGCTTCGAGCTTTGTATTGCGCAAAGTCATATGCTCTTCCAGTGCCGCCACGCTTGATTGTAGCCTACCCATCTGCTCGCTAAGATTGGCTACTACTTTGCTGAGCGTGTCAAACACCTCTTTCATATCTGACATGGTCGTTCGGTTGGCTTCCACGTGTTCTGCTATGACTGCCCTCTTTTTCGCGGTTCTCGAGTCCCCCACGTTTTCAGCCACAGGGACATCAACTGGCTGAGGCATTGGCTGTGAAGATTGCGCGCTGGTTAGCTTAGTGAGAAGAATCTTTATTTCCTTTAACTCAGCTGATAGCCTCTCATTCGATTTTGTAAGTCTCGCGTTTTCTTGCTCTAGCTGTGCAATTCTATCATGCTCTGGCAGCTTACCTGTCATCACCTCTGCCCCGCCGTTGCGCACTCGCTCAGCCCAGCTGCCTTTCGAAGTAACTGCAGGCGTCCTCCCCGGGTGTGAAGCCGTGATCTCGAACTGAACGCCAGGCAGCTGGCCATTCGGGTGCCGCCCAGGCTGATCCCGACCCTGATGGTGACCTTGAGAACTCGAGCGCCCCCGTGATTGGGAGCGGGCCTTGGGTCTAGAACCTCTTCTGGAACGCGACCCCCCCCCCTGTAGTGGGGCCGCCTTTCCTGTTCTTGTGTAGTCTGGATGCTCTGGGTCCCGTAGGCTGGAATAAGCTGCTTGTCATTGATGTCTGGACTCGATGTGATTGATGCGTCCCGGGCTTCTGCGGCTGCTCGCGATCTTTCCCAACGTCTGCGTCTGACGACGTATGGCACTAAGAACCTGTTCTTGCACTCCTTGTCTGCCGTGGGATGGTGACCGTCGCACAGCCTGCATCTTGGATTGCACTGGTGCAGGCTATCAGGGTTCTTGATCTCGCAGCCTCTGCAGATTGTTTCAGCTGGGTTCGGACAGACATCAGACCGATGTCCCAGCTTTTCACAGACGTAACAAATATCGATGCTCTTGCGGTAAAGGGAGCACTGCAAAAGTGAAGGCCCATATCTCACGAATCTGGGCACCTTGTGTCCTTCGAACGCTATGATGATTGTCCCGGTGTCCTTGATTCTCTTCGCCTGCAGCGCGAGCGGGTTGTTCACGTTCACAATCTTTCGGGTCAAAATGTCCTGAGTATCGCTTACGGGAATCCCGCGAATCACTCCTTTACAAGTGTCGTGGGGTGCCGCGGCGTACGCGCTAACCTCGAATACTTTGGCTCTAATGTCAATTTGCTTGACCTTGAGGTATCTTGAAGCTCTGTCTTGGTCCGGAGTGCTTGCCACCATAATGTTTTGCTGCAAGCTGGAACAGATGATGTCCTGCATGGCCTCTTCCTCTTTGACGCCTGCCACCAGTACTATCGCGTCTGCCACGGCTCCAGTGCCAATTCTCGAAATATTTAATCCTCCACGTGGTCGTAGCACAATTTTGCTGAAGTCCTTAGGTAGTGGCGGCATGCGTCCAGCTCGCACGATTGTATGCTTGGTGTCATACCTACTACGACTGGCTCGAGCGTCTCCCGCAACGCCGGCCTCGGTCGAACCCTTGGCAGCAGGAACGCTAACCGCGGCTTGCTTATTCCTTGAGCGTCTCGTTTCGGCTTCCTTCCAACCCATTTCTTCCGTGCAATCCTCTGGAGAGATGTCCTCTCCATCTACTTGGTATTCCATTCTCAGTTGCAGATACTGGAACGCGCAGAGCGTTGAGTCGCGTTGGCGCCGGGCCGGCGCATCGGCGACAATCGCCTCCTTGGTTAGGCCTAAATCCCCCGGTGGCGTTGCCGTGTAAAAATGTCCCAAAAAACGGTTTAAAAGTCCACTCACCGGCACAAAGGTGGTATCTGCTGATTTCTTGAGAACTTAGGCACACGATGAGAGTAAAAACTCGGCGACAAATTCGTGAATACCACAGGAAAGCATTCTTGAAAGCAGGAGCCGATCTTCGCGCGTCCGCACTGGTCGGCACCTAGAGCGTCTCCCTCCAGGGTTGCTTTGACGCATGCTCATTTCAGCGCGTCCGGCGTCCCTCCGTGACAAAAAGAGGGAGACGCATTGTTGTCTGGATATCGCATCGGCGCTAAATGCAGGATGTCTCATTTCACGCCGGCTGCCGATGGACGCTGGTCGCGGCTGGCGTCAGATTATTAATACTCGTGTTTCGCTAACGCAGCGTCGCTGTGTCCAGCGTGCGCGCGCGTCAACGCTACTTTGGAGTATATTGGGCACTTTATGATGCGCTCGCCGCTGTTTTGCTAACTCCACATATACCTAATTTGGTGTTACGTGACGTCAATGGATGACGAAATATATGACTGGTGCAAACATGATAATCCTGACACGCGTGTCATGTAGGAACATGACAACATAATACGCTCATAGCGTGCTCGCGGCCGTTTCGCTAGCTCCACATATACGAAGTTTGGTATCACATGACGTGAATGGATGAAGAAGATAAACGACACATCGAAACATGATAATCATGACACAGAAGTCATGTACGGCGTCATCTACTTCCACCTCGTAACATTTTGCTGATTTTAAAGTGACATATCAACAATTCTCATTCGTGCTTCGCATCGCATCGATTGCCACTGTACGTGGGATCTGCCAATTTTTTTAGTAGCTACCTGTTTCTCTCAGAGTCCTTAGCTTGTCGTAAAAGTTCTCTTTTCAGATATCCGATGTCTTTTCTTTTTATTTCTTTTTTCGTTTTTTTTTTGTTTCGAGGGAGTGAGTGCCTAATGAAGTGGCAATAGCAATTTTTACGAAAACGTTCGGTGCCAGACTTTTCTTAAGCAGATAGATTTATTAGGATTTTCAGGCTTTTTTTTTGCGCAATTGCAACACCTGCCCCGACGGGAACAAATAAAGAATTTTAGCAATGGAACTTTTTTCACTACTTCGACGCCGCCATTTCTTACGCAAGAAAACGCTGCATCTTGCTTTTGCATAGCCTCGTATTTTTCACTCAAACCGGACGCTGATGTTTCATCGGAGCTAGCCTCATCAGCAATCGTGTATGACGAAGATAAAGAGTCAAGCGTTTACCTCATTTATTTCCTTCTTACATCTGAGCAGCTGTAGCTTGTAATGTTGCGTCAGTCTCCTTTCCGTTGTTAATAAAATTTTTGAGGTGAAGTACTGAATGTAACATTTTCTCTCAATTTAAGGACGCTTGAGATTTGAAGAATTACCTCCTAGAGCATGAGGCAATGTAGCTTAGCGATTGATTTTTGATTTCTCCTGGTTGTGGCGTGACCGTTCGTATTAACGCGGACGTCAAACATGAATATGGGATCGCGATTGCTCAACAAATATGGACGTACACCTCCAACCAGCAAATGTTTCATACCTGTCCGAAACTTAGTGCTGCATCCACTAGTTGAAGAGCTTTGAAAATGCCGTATGGTGCACCAAGAAACAGCCTCCCGTAGCTGACAAATATTCCCTGTAATAAAAAAAAGTGAGAGGCGCCATCTGATGAAGAATATATTAAGACCTTTTTTATTGCTGCAAAGCTGCGTTTTCTGCTGTAAAATTAGGCAAACTAATGGCGGCTATTCACTTACTGCAAACAGTGCATGCAAGTGCGGTTGGCTTGTGCTATAACCTGGAAAACGTAGATTCGGCTCTCTTGACATAAGCATGCATATGACCTGTGCAACTAGGATCTTGTCTCCACTTGAAAAAGTAGAAGTAGGGCCTTTGGTTGGGCGAATATGCAGCGCAGGGAAGCGCACTTGCGGATTATGAAAATTGTTTATCGAGCGGCGTGACTGCCAGGCCGTGCTGCTATCTTGCTCTCGTTTAATCTTAACGTATGTGTTCTGCATTACGTCCATCCACTCGCCTGTACACCTAGAATTTCATGTAAGATAGAAAACGAGCACCTAAGTCACAGATAGGCATTTCGTCATCCAAATTATAGAGCCAATATCAAAGTGTACTAGCTATAGAAAAGCTTTGTCAATTCGGCCCCTGATTTCCTGTGCTACAGCGCGCTCATTCACGAAGAAGTCAAAGTTTAGCAGCAACTGTTGCGCCTATATGAACCCAAGTCAGGTGGAAGTGATCGTGCAGGCCGACTATCTTGACAGGACGTGTTGCTTAAATCATTCCAGAAAAACGTATACGCCTGCTGTATTTAGAACCCAGCGAAACGATGTAACCGATACATGAACATCACCCGCTATCACATCAAGTGACTATGAATGCATCACTGAAGTTTACGACCGACAAATCTGCACGCATGATAGTAGCAGAGAACAATATCCTTTCTTGCCCACAGAAGTGTGTCTCTCTGTTCACTTCGTTCCCACCACTGTTTACTTTGCACTGTCATTCCGCACACCCACTGTATTATAATAAAGAATCGTTCTAGCTAACCACTCTATGTTTCATTTATTTTACATTTCTCTGTTCTTAATACTTACTCCCCACTGTATGGCTTCAGAACTAGTCTGCATTGCAGTAGCCTGTCAAAAGAAGCTGGGAGTGTCAGCCACCAGTAGTCTAGCGCAAATTTTAGCTGCTCTATTTTTGCCACGGAGTTGAGTACTGGCATGCCGTGCATGCAAGCATTCCCATGAACCGTCGTTACTTTTCTGAACATTTGTGCTTGTGGGTAACGATAGCCTCACTATGACGGTAACTGTAACATTTGTGCAGGAATGCAAACCATATATCCAAGCTTAAAACCGCCGTGTTGATGACTTTTTTCATGGAAAATGAGGCAGCCGACACCTCTGAAGACATAAAAATCACCTGCAAAGTACATAATTGCAAAAACCGCGCTACTTGTTTATTCTATTTCTGAGTTGCGGCAACCTTCAAGCTACCAGACTGTGCCATTTTGCTTCAGCGTAATACGGGCACAAAATACATTAATCGTACTATATAAAAATAACAGGAAGAAAAAATTTATCTATATGACATCGAGGTGCCCTAGACAGCCACTGTTTCCTGTCTATGCGGCCGCGTTCTTGTAAATATCGGTTTAGTCCTGTTCACATTCGCGTCAATTGATGTGACGTCCGAACTAGATGTCACTACTGGAAGACGTGCTTCGCCAATGCAGTGGGCATACTTCTGCATTTTCCGAGACTTCTTGACCTAACAATTTGACCTCAACTTTAAATTCTAAAAAAAAGATTGACCACATGAACGCAAAGCTAACGGCTCCATCTATTTTTCGCTCTTAAATAATCTTACTTTTTTTTCCTTATATGCTTCTCTAGTCTTAATGTAGTGAACTCTCTGCGCCTCTTCTTGGCTGTCAATTTTTCTTTTTCTTTTCTTTTTCGTCACTTCTTTTTTCATTTTCTTCCACTCAGGTTTCATCAAGGTGTGTTTACTGTACCAGTCGACATGCTCGATATTTTCCGCTAACGAGCGTCAGGCAAGCCAGAGCCAAACTGTCGATTCGCGTTTTCACTAAGAAATAAGCAGCATGCGAGAGGTGTTGTTAATGTCTCTCCAAAAGCAAGTAAAAAATGAAGTTAAGAATCTAGGGGGTAACAAAAAAAAAAGACCCAGACGCAATACCGCTCAAGCTGTCTAGCTGGCAGCACTGTCTAATAATCACCTCTCTCGTCAGCGCCTCTTTTCTGACGTCAACCGCAGTCGCTGTGGCATTTCATCTGCGGATTCTCTGTGGCCAATCGATTTGTGCAATCGTCCTAGTAGCCTGCTTACAAACACATAAAATCGCAGACAGGCTGTTGCTTTTTTTTTCTTTTATTTTGTATGACCAGGAGTGGCGCCCCGATTCTTTTACTAGAGGAAGGGGGTAGGACGAGAGGCTGGGGGAACACCCACGACAAGTTGGTCCGTATGGGGAGGCCGGTGGGGCAGGAACCTTATGGTAAATCAATCAACCAATCAATCGAAGGAGAACTTATTGAGCTATACTGGGAACAATTCGGACGCAAATGTTTGGTCCCATAGCCTAAGCGGCTAGTGATGAGTGCATCAGAAAAAAAGGTTACAAAAAATAGCAGTATACACGGAAAATAATTAACAGTAGTGAAAGTACAATCATAAGCAACAGATGTTATACATATTTAAAGAACCATAGTGCAACCAACAAGCACCCACAATAATCATGAGAATTTTGTGAAGAAGAAAAACTTATGTGTTGCGAAGGAACTATATTTTCTTTTAGGGTGGCAAAGGCATGAGGGAGGGGGAGCTAGGCGAAAATATGGTGAGTTGAGGGTGGGGCTTGTTCATAGCTCCCACTTACTTTTTGCACCACCCCTGCTTATTACTGCGCCAACGATAACAACTACACATGAATGGAACCACAACAGAAACAAAATATGATGCTCAACCCATGGCACCCCCTCCCCCTTTTTTGCAGTTTTCCATACCAACAGTCTGCCTAATTATACACTGTGAAGCAAACTTTAACTTGCTGTGAGACCTTTCCAGAAAACAAGAAGCATGGTTATAAACAAGTCGTGTTTTCTCGAGTTTATTCAGCAATAAAGCTGTATGAAAGCTGTTTGTTTTTCAGGCTCTCGGAGCTTGCTTGAGAGAACTCAGCTTGGCTTTAAATTTAAGCTGATCGCAAACACACGCTTCTAGTTGGTGTTTATTGTAAACATCAGATTGTTGTATTAGGCCTTGTATTCGTTAGAACACGGAGACGTGCGAGATGATTCTCTATTCTGCAAAGCTGGTTTGCTTCATAAGCCCCTCCCGGGGCAAATTTTACAGTGAAAGCTGGTATGAGATCACAAGGGCCGATTTTGGCGCCTTAGTTGTCCGACACCGCCTCCGGTGTCCGTAACCACCATCGCGCGAAATAAAAAAAAATAAAGTAAGTAAGGAGGAATCGAATGCGATACGAATGTAGGGCGTTGCCCCGCCGCGGTGGTCTAGTGACTAAGGTACACGGCTGCTGACCCGCAAGTCGCAGGATCGAGCCCCGTCTGCGGTGGCTGCATTTCCGATGGAGGTGGAAATGCTGTAGGCCCGTGTGCTCAGATTTGGGTGCACGTTTAAGAACCGCAGGTGGTCGAAATTTCCGGAACCCTCCACAACGGCGTCTCTTATAATCATATAGTGGTTTTGGGAGGTTAAACCCCACATATCAATCAATCAATCAATGTGGGGCCTCTGCATGGAAGCGCAGTATTCTGCAAGCGAGCTACACCGCAGCCTGAAACTCCGTTAGGAACTGACCTTATGCAAGCTTGATATCGAGCAAGGAACCACGTTAACATGTGTAATAAAGCGTTTTAGAACTGCAAAGTAATGATCAGGCGCTACACAATGTGAATAGAATTACCAGTGAGTCGTTGAATGTTCTAACAAAAGCGTAAGGCATAATTTTATATCGCAGTCAGCCACTGGATCACAAAAGTGCATATAACGCCTGGCTAGTGAGTAGCAGGTACCACGCTTCTTCGAAGAATGATGAATAGTGGCATACTGCACACTGCGCACTTCCATACTACACAAAAATTGGTTTTATGGCGTAGGGGGTACAATGCAAGTGTTTGTAGTAGGTGCCTCAAGAGTTTTTAACAAAAGCCCCTAGGAAAACCGCTTTCCCTTGTTTTGTTGTGACTGAGCTACGCGATCCGCGCAGGCCTGATTTTTTTTTAATTCCCGGAAAGTTTCGTGAAATATGAGAATGGTTGCTTACACTGTTAAAGACTATGGAAAAAATGTAGACAACTTACGATCAGTATAGAAATGAAAAGTGCTGCCATCAAGATCATAATGCCCCGCACATCGTCCTCAGGTTCGTAAGTCTTTATTGAGGCAGCGTCATTACTTCCGGGCCAGGACACTTCTCCTGAAGGCGACAGGTTGAAACGAACTCGCGCTGTGGATTCGAGCAAGCGTTTCGTGTCGCCTATGCCGTCAGTCCTGCAAAGCAAGAAATGGGAACAAGTACAACTTTATGCATTATAGTCTTCATTGGCAGTCAATATATAATAATAAATAATTATTTCTTCAGATATGTGTAGTTTGAGGAAAACTCCTAATAGATATCACATGTAGCAGTAAGTCTAATATACCATCAAAAAAGGAACCTTAATCCCCAGGTCCACGTCGTGTTTGAACCAAACATAAAAATAGCGAGGCGTATACGTCAAGTAAACGTCTAGAGTACTTCTCGATGGCGGTAGGTGTAACTGAATGAATTCAATACTACGTCGTGATTTGCGTGTTGTAAGTTATTGTAGAGAGTCACGTATTATCGAGGTCTGACACATATGGCTGTTAAAGCACTACTATTGCACTTCTTTGACAAATGCGCGTACCTGTCACTTGTGGGCATTGTAAAACATTTCCCAGTGGTGAACAAATTACGCAGGTCACAGAGACGACATAACTTTTGCCACGTTTGCAAAAAGATTATGAATAAAATGGTGTCCCCAGCTGCGCCCAGAACACATTCAGCTGTTATGTAGTTTGGAAGTCTTTCTGGCACAGTGAAAAACTTGCTCGCGTGTTAACTGTGAAGCACCAAAAATGAAAACGGAAGCTTTGACCACAGAAAAAAAAAGGCAGCTGAATGCCTACTGTTCACTAAAAAGATCTGAAACGACGATTGACAGATGAGAGAGAGGGGATATTCTTCGCTGAAAGAATGTGAAAAAAGGACTGATAGATGAGAAAGAAATATATATGAGAAAAAAAACGCGCTGTGAATGGGCTCCCACGTTTGAAACTACACCACTTAAAGTCGGTCACACATGCAATCAAGGAGTCTTCAAAATACGCAAAAGTGACTAAACTAATTCATAGACTGAAGAGATATGGAGATGGTGTTCATTCGAAAGCCCCGTCAGCATGCTGTGCAATAAAATGCTCTCTCCGTCTAGGATGTTCAACGTACAATACTACCAGAACCATCGAGACATAAACTTTGACAGCGTTAAAACGCTATCTCAAAGACGGCAGCACTTTTCCCAATTAATCAATAATATACGTCGACATCAAATGAAGCCTCTTATTAAATGTACGCGCCACCAATTGTATGCATTATGTTATGATAGTTATTACACCTATGTTCCTAGATGTACGTTGCTTTTGTTGAAATACGCGGCTTATTGCTACATCTATAGATTTATTTTCATGGTTACCAGACGTGTTGACTGTTATGTTGTCCAAATGGGTGGCTTCCTCTTAAACGGACACTACACAGCAAAGCGATTTTTCGCGTATTGGTAAAGTACAATTTCACATTCCCGAAAACACCGTTCTTACTACTACACGACACTTGGTAAGTGCGAAAACGTGCGAAAAAATGAAACGCAGGTGGAAACGCCTTTTTGAGATTTGCCCAATAAATACCATGACATCATAAATTTTGAAAGCATCTGCTGGGTCCTATACGTATTTTCTAATTGACAAAAGTGAAGTACTTTTCCATCTCTGCGCTGCCAAATACCTAGCTTTTCATGTGTTTGCTTTTCATGCATTGGTGTCTTTTCATGCATTGGCTTTTCATGTATTGGTGTCAAGTTTGGCAGGTCCTACGCACTGGGGGAATCAGTTTCCTGCGAAGAAGTGCGCGAGTAATTCTCTGTGCTGCTTTTTTTTTTCTTTGAGCTAAACGTTTCGAGGTGGATCAACGTGTTCTGTAAGTATTGTAGTTGTGCGCACAATGTGGACTTACCAGGAACGTCTGCTACATTGGAGTTTAATGGGTAGTTCATGGTGTGACGTAGCGTAAGCACTCTCATTAGTGCACGGACGTCAGTGTTGTCGAAAGAATGTGCACTGTACGAAGCTATGATGTGAATAGCCTTCATAACTTCTGTTACTGTAATCTTGATTTGATTGATATGTGCGGTTTAACGTCCCAAAACCACCATATGATTATGAGAGACACCGTAATGTAGGGCTCCGGAAATTTCGACCACGTGGGGTTCTTTAACGTGCACCCAAATCTGAGCACACGGGCCTACAACATTTCCGCCTCCATCGGAAATGCAGCCGCCGCTGCCGGGATTTGATCCCGCGACCTGCGGGTCAGCAGCCGAGTACCTTAGCCACTAGACCACCGTGGTGGGGCCTGTTACTGTAATCTTGTAAGGTCCTGCAACGCTACAATAAAGCTTGCTGAATTATAGTATTACAGATACAAGGTTAATTAGACTGCTTTAAATATGAATCCAACACCTGATTGCATTTAACGGCGTGACCAACTTGCCCAGTCAGCTACTTTATAAACCGACACCGGAACCACAATAGACGTGTAGCGTCATCATCATCGCCATTCATCATCGTCGTCATTTTTCTAGCCACCGCGCTGCGCCTCTCGTGCAACTCATGCGACAGCTCGTGGCGCGAGCGGTGGAGAACGAGCACCATGCCTGGCGGTTCGGACGTGGCAGCCGCCGCCGCTCCGCTCCGGCAATCGCCTTTGATAATAAAGTGGTGACAGAACGACACGACCACGTTAGCCGCTGTCCCGTCTTCCTCTCTCGCTACAGATGGATGGATGGACGAATGGATGGATGGATGGATGGATGGATGGATGGATGGATGGATGGATGGATGGATGGATGGATGGATGGATGGATGGATGGACGGACGGATGGACGGATGGACGGACGGACGAACGAATGGATGGATGGATGGATGGATGGATGGATGGATGGATGGATGGATGGATGGATGGATGGATGGATGGATGGATGGATGGATGGACGGACGGACGCATGGACGAATGGATGGATGGATGGATGGATGGATGGATGGATGGATGGATGGATGGATGGATGGATGGATGGATGGATGGATGGCCGGACGGACGGACGCATGGACGAATGGATGGATGGACGAATGGATGGATGGATGGATGGATGGATGGATGGATGGATGGATGGATGGATGGATGGATGGATGGATGGATGGATGGATGGATGGATGTGTGGTGTCATCATCATCGCCATTCATCATCATCGTCATTTTTCTAGCCACCGCACTGCACCTCTCGTGCAGCTCATGCGGCAGCTCGAGGCGCGAGCGGTGGAGAACGAGCACCAGGCCTGGCGGTTCGGACGTGGCAGCCGCCGCCGCTCCGCTTCGGCAAGCCTTTGATAATGAAGTGGCGACAGAACGACACGACCACGTTTCCCGCCGTCCCGTCGTCCTCTCTTGCTACAGACGCCAATGTGATATCACACCAGTATTATAAAAGTACTTATGTAATGAATGCCCTGATATGAAATTAGGTAGCGAGCACTGCAACCGTTGCACCCCCATCGCACCTGCGCAGGATCGTTTTCCCCAAAAGTCCTGAGGCCTGGCATGGCTAAGTGATAGAATACTTGATTGCCGCGCGGAATGCTGAGGTTCGATTTCTGCTGGGATCCAGATTTTAAAAGCGAAGTTCCTTAAGGCGTGGGCTGAACCTCCCGTCGTAATCGTATATATGTAGCCAACTGTTAGTTCTTGAACCAGCCGTTGAGGGCGGAACTTGTACACATAACGAAAAGCATATGCACTGAAAAATCCAAATGGTACGATACTAGAGGACGTTATCGGTGGTATGATAAATAATAAAAATCACAGCATATTCATGGAGTTAATAATGATGAGTGGGGCGAAGTGTCCATCCGTCCGTCCATGCGTTCATTCGTTCATCCGTGCGTTCATTTGTTCATCCGTGCGTTCAACCATTCGTGCATCTGTCCATGCGTTCATTTGTGCGTCCATCTTCCGTACTCTCGTCGGTTCATCAGTGCGTCCATCTGTGAGTCCGTCCGTTCGTCCATGCATCCGTCCCTGCATTCGTCCATGCGTCCGTCTGTGCGTCCATCCCTGCTTTCGTCCATGCGTCCATGCGCCCATCGGTCCTCTCATGCGTCCATCTGTGCGTACGTCCCTGCATTCGTCCATGTGTCTGTCCATCCGTGCCTCAGTCCGTCCGGCGTCAAATAGACAGACAGACAGACAGACAGACAGACAGACAGACAGACAGACAGACAGACAGACAGACAGACAGACGGACGCAACCAGCGGATGATTCACGATTTGCCAATGAGCATCTGGCAGTTTTTTTTTTTTCAAAAACAAAGCGCGTGGCTCTGAGACGGGTGTGCGTGCCCGTCTCAGAGGTGATAAGGCGACGGGTAGGTGCCACCACCATCTCGTTTTAGCAAAGCGTTGGAAACACTCGCCTTTCCGTGCAAGCGTTGCACGGCCAGCACAGCGTGATAAGCGCTACGGTCCTTAAAATCACTTATGTATGCCTTTTCTAGTAAAAGGCGCACATGTAGAATACATACATGTTGTTATGGCGCCCCAGATATGCGCCATAATTGCTTTTTAATCAACAATTGCACAAGTATGAACGCTGAATCTTGAGCAACATTGGTGGGCGCTGCGGGTGGGGTCGGCCATTTCGAATACCCGATGTAGTTAAGAGTGAACAAACAGGCAATTGTACAGACAGACAGACAGACAGACAGACAGACAGACAGACAGACAAAAATTTTATCGTCGAAGCTCCCCAAGAAAGACTATCGTCTTTAAAAGTATGATACGCGCAAGGCGGCGGCAGCTGGCACTCAAAGACGGAACCCCGATGTGCGAGCGCGCGAGAAAATGGGAATGACGTCACACGAAGACGTTGGCGATCGCGTGTTCGTCGGTGGTGCCGTAAGCTAGAGGGCGCAGTATAGTAAAATAAAAGCCACTTCTGAGAGCGCGCGCGCGCTCAGAAGGTCGTTGGATGGACAACGCTGCAAAGCGGCGTGCGCGCAAGGTGGCAGCGGATCGCGCTCCAAGACAGAACCTCGATGTTTGAGCGCGCGAGGCAGAACTAATCTAAAAAAAACACCCAAGCATTTTCCCGAGTTTCAACATGGTTAAGTGCGAATGCACGGGGTGATGCTATGATGAGGAGTAAAGTTAAAATTCGTTGGCATTCGCCAGTGAGTTAACGTAAACTCTCCCGTGTGATCGAATTGCGATTCCCAGGAACCATTACATCCATCGCACGACCCGCTCTCTACGGGAGACTGAGAGAGAAGGCGGGCGCGCGAGAGAGAGGGGTGCGCGCGCAGCTGCAGCGAGCGAGGAGAGCGGAGGAGCGAGCGAAGGGGGAGGGGGTATAGGGCGCGTTACTGACACCGATATCAGCGTCGCGTCCGTGGCTTATTCGGTAGAGTGTCGCGCTGCGGCCCGCCAAGTCCTCTTTCTTTTAAAGATAGAGAGAAGACTGCGGACGCCGCCGACGGCGGTGGATGATTTGGGGCCGCTTATAAAGTGTATTCACACCTAAAAGAAAGATCCAACCATTATTGTTTTCAAACAGCTAATTCTATTTCACCCGACACTCCACTTGGCAAACTGTCTTTGTGTACTCACATGAGAACAGGTGTCTTTTCGTAGCGCTGTTTTGCATGCTCTATTTTGAAGCTCCTTTTCGATCGGCAGCAGCAGCAACATTCAAAGAGCGACGACGTCTTCAGCGCTCGCTCGTAAGCATGTTGCAGCAGACAGAGCACTGTCAGCCCCGCACACAAACTTAGCATCAACACAGATGCTACGGCCTGCGATGAAGATCAGCAGCGGTACACGTCAATCAGTTCCAATTCGTGGGCCATCAAGAAACATAAAAGGCTTACTAAGCGATTGCCAGTGAAAAACACTTGCACAATAATGTAGCAAGAACTATTTTCTAGACTCCTTTAGATACATATTAGCGTCCTACTTTACAAATATGTATAGAGTGATGCTAACAATTTTACGTTTGCAAAAAGATAAGTGCGTGAACATTTTTTTCTTTTTTACCTAATCCCTCCTTTATAGCATGCTGTATAAATGCCACTAGAATGAAACAATTACGCGTCGATTTTTATTCTTCCGTCTATTTTATGATTGTTCATTGTAATCATTAGTGCACATGTGTAGTTATTTAGTTTGTTTGGTGCCTACTTGTTCAGTTGATCTATTTGTACGATATTCTCATTTTTTATCTTCCTTTTTCTTCAATCACTGAATTTTATTTGTGAAGTGCTCGTACTTCGAAACTGCTCGCATGTACTAGAGCCTTTCAAAAAGAGAGGGCCGTTCAGTTTCTCCAAAATGACTATTCGTTAGTAAGGGGACGCATTGGACGGTTTAGGTTACTACAACCTAAACCGTCCAATGCGCTTTTTTTTCAGAATATTTCATTGCTACTACAAACGCGTAGCAATGAAATATTTTGGCACATAGCCACGCCAAACCACGCATAGACTTTTCAAACAGGCGCCATATCCGCTGAAGTTGATTTGTGTAGTGATGTTGACGGCTACCATCATGGCGCGCGCCGGCGGGATCAACAGCGCTTCATATCAGCTTACCACTTCTGGTGTTGTAATATCTATGTTGCTATTGGCATCGTTACGCAACTGTAAACAACTGGTGATATAAAGCATATGCGGCTGTTTAACATATGTGAGTGCGTCGATTTGTAAATATATTTAGCTCCTTCATCTAAATAAAAAACATCTGGCTAAATAAAAAAATTAAAACGCATTCACTTTGTATTCGCATTCCTTGCGTAACATTGATTCCCAAGGTACGTGGGATCTGGCGAAGTAGTTTTGGTTCTTTTATTTTGAAGAATAAATATTGCTAATCCCTTTGACCCTGTCGGCGATCGTACTCAGATGTACGATTTTCCTCATGTATCTCCCTCTTTTATTTTTGTACGTGCGTAGTCGTGCGTACATCCTGAAATATATGTTAAGACCACACGCATATTCCAGGCCGACCACACTTTGTCACCCGGATGTCACTCGAATGGGCAGTGGCATAGCCTGCAGCACATACATTGTCTGTGGCTAATAAACACGTTCAATTGTTACATGTCGTGCGCGCGCACAGAAGCGTGTAGTGTCCCGAACCGACTTACGTCAAAACAAGGACGCATACACTAAAACAACGGGCACGTGGCTGAGTGATCGCATCGTTAAAACGACAGCAACGTGCAGTCGTAAGAGAAAAGAAAACAACCAGCCGATCGATGGTGAGACGGGTGAAAGAGCAAGAGTAAAAAGCAAGAGCGACACTGGCCTTCACTGGAGGGTATACCCGCCAGATGATCGCTGAACTAAACGTACTTCCTGCATGGTCACTCGCGGGTGAATTAATGCCTCGAATAATGTTCGAGCGCTGTACGAAGAAAAATGATGCGAAGAGTTCCGAGCGGAATGTTTTTAAGTCCCTTTGCTTTTCTTTTTTACGATGATCTAGTGTCGCTTAGATAGATAGATAGATAGATAGATAGATAGATAGATAGATAGATAGATAGATAGATAGATAGATAGATAGATAGATAGATAGATAGATAGATAGATAGATAGATAGATAGATAGATAGATAGATAGATAGATAGATAGATAGATAGATAGATAGATAGATAGATAGATAGATAGATAGATAGATAGATAGATAGATAGATAGATAGATAGATAGATAGATAGATAGATAGATAGATAGATAGATAGATGCCATTTTTTGTGATAATCATGATGGTAGTCGTTTCTTGCATCCGGCTGACGATCGCACCTTATCTGACCACACAAGTACTACTAGTGGTAACGTAAAATGCCCACATAATAATTCGATGCCACCACCGATATATATATACATATACTTACCTCACATTCACCGTTGAAAAACAGAGGAACTTCCATTGTGCCGTTCACTCGATATCCGCACGCCAGGCGACCAACAATCATTACCGTCGCTGTCAGGACGATAGGAACCCTTAGTCACCGGTGGACATGCAAAACAAATAAAACAATGTGCAAAGGAACTTGACTGTGGAAATATACGAATCGTCGACATTGCAACGAGTGCTTTTGCATTACAGTATTATATCAGGCGTAATACTAACTGATCATTCTTCAACTCTTTAGGTTTTTTTTTTTTTTTTGCTACGCTCATCACCAAGCGTGTAAGTGCCGCCAACTCTCATGTATGGCTACGGAAACAAATGCTTCATGATTCGAACAAATAGAACATGCTTCCGGCGTAAGCTCATTTTTAAAGCGTGGTCGTTGGATGCGCATTTCCGCAAAGCTACGAGTAAGTACCACGTCAACCCTGCAGCCGACACATAATCCGCGTGGTGGTCGCGTTTGAAGCAACTTATGTTACGATTTCTTCAGACCTACAGAAGACGCCGTCAAAGAGGATGAGTGGGAGTTATCAATTCTTGTAATGTAAAGGCGACTACACGCTGCTTCAAGCAGCACTAATTGTCAGGTAAAAGGAAACTTCTTCTGAGATGGATTCTAATTTACTATCACTTTATTTGGATTCGATCTTCTTCACCTGCCTGATCCGTGAAGCCAAAAAAGAAAGAAACGTTTCTCTTAAATTTCTTTTGTCGTGACATTGCCTCGACCTAGTCGTCTTGATACTGCTCGAGACGGCACGACATTCTCTCAGCTTTTGGCATGCACGTGTAATTGAAAACCGCGAACTATTTTCGCCAAATCTCGGACTGCTCACTCGTCGTTCGGCACCTGCCTGCCAACCGACCTCTCTGAACGATGCAGATATCCCCTTCCCCGCTTATACTTTGCCCCCACAACATTTCACATGTCACGGGCACGTCAGAGAAGGCCCGCATTCTCAATCATTCTATTTTCTGATTCCCCAAAGAGAATTGCCGCAATGGTGTCGGACATCCAATGAACGAACCTCGTATACCGGTCTGAGTGTCGGTACAGTTTGAAGGAAGCTTTGAACTCGAGAAGGCGATTGTCGTGTCGCGGCTTAATATCAAACAGGAATCACCCTTTCTGTTCTTGGCATGCAGTTCCTCTATCGCAAGTAAGAGTAAAAAGAAGAGCGCACTATCACGCGGCTCACTCTCTTCTTCAATGCAGAATACACGCATACGGTCCATCTGCTTGGACTTACTGCATTTCAATTACAATGACTCGTACGTACAGATCCGAGGCACGACTTCTTTGACAATCAAAGAGAGCACAAAAAAAAGAAGGAACTTGCGTAGAGTTCTAATTTACATTACAATTCACGCTAACTTCGCGCGTGTAGTCGCAACGTCGTAGCACTGAGTGTGCGTGCTGCATGCCACACATTTTCGCTGTTTTCTCATCAACACAATAACATCCAAACAAGCTTCTAGCGTGACCAATAGACGCCGCCAACAAAACTCTGGAATTCAACGTGAGCGCTTCCTTTGAAATTGCGCAGTCTGAAAATATGAGTTCACGCGCACGTACGCACTTAGACATGCAGTGCTGCGTGTCTTTTATTGCTACAACAATTATATGAACCTTAGAGACGCTTTTTCGACGTAGCCGCGAGGTTCGCTGTGAAGTCCAAGGAAAGAAAACGAAAGAGATGAAAGGCAGAGATGTCAACCAGTTTGGTATAGCTGGTATGCTACCCTGCACAGTAGGAAGGTATGCATGAGATTTAAAGAGTAAAGAAAGAGATATGCGGAAGCACACACGCACATATATAACGTCCCCTCGCACAGTAGCAGTTGTGTGCGGCATACGGCATCATTAAGAGTCTATAACCACTCGTGCGATTCTGTTGTCCTTAGGAATTTTAGCAATGCCTTCGTTGTTTGAATTCTCGATGACATTTCAGGATAGCGGTGGGTAATAGCTTCTAGTGTTGTCGTTCAAGTTTATAACGTCCCCCCACCCGTCGTGTGTTTTGTGTGCGAATGAAAGCTCGAGAGTCGCTGCTGTGGAATGCGGCTCAAGCAGAATGAAACGGCCGTCCCTGTCGTAACAACCGAGTCTGGCAATGGGCACAAGGCACCACCACTGGAAGCGCGGGTACTGCAATCACTGTGACGTGGAAGATTCAATCACGTGATCTCGCCTCGCTGTGGCGGAAGGAAGTGGACGTTTGAATGCGTTGTTTTCAACACAGAATTGCCCGGTGTTTTCAATTTTTAACAGCGTTGTTTTGCTCTCACTTATTGTGTGCGCACTTCTAGAGACCATTCAGAAAAGTGCGCTAAACGTTATCGGTGGCGGGTACTCTTCTACTGCGTGCCCCAATGCGCTGCGTACACGAAGCAGCCAGGCGTGATATTTCACGTTCATCCCTACCATACTAACTGGGCCCCTGTGGCTTTCGTATAAGTGACTTTAGCAGGTGACGCCATCTGTCAGACATACTGAGAAACTTCACAATTTTTGGAGTAGTTATGCAGCATTTCGCACATTCAGTGAAGAAGCCTCAGCAGCAATTTAATGATTTGAACGAAGTGATAACAACAACAATAACAGAAAAAGGAGACGCAGTAGCAGGTGCGGGCTGTGCTCGAGAGAGAGCTGGCGGAGCAATCCAACCTTGCATGTCACAGGGATGTCTGCGCGTGGTCGCGCCTAATATGACCTCGTGCTCAATAGGACGGCAGTAGTGGGGCCTGAATAGGGGCTTCGTAGCAAAAGCTACTTTGATCATCTGGGCGTGGTCGTGCGTTCCCTATCTTCACATGGATGAGCGAAATGCTCGTTATACTTATTAAGCCTTGGGTTCTCACTGCAACGTATGAGTTGAAGTCGCAACCCACTCGAAGGCCGCTTCGCTCGCTGCCACGGCCACGTCTCTTTACGTCAGCGTTTTGTTCAATTGAGCCAGGTCTCGTAATACAAGTGTTCGCTGTGAGCCTTACTTCGTATAGCATTTCGATTTCTGGCCGTGAGTCTGTTGCTACTCATTGCTTCGCCCTTACGGTGAAACTGCACTGAATGTCCTTGTCTGGTAGTGCGAATAGATAAGTGAATGAAATGCAACATTGTGGAACCACTGGTCACGAGACGTGTTCTCGCCATAACCATTAAACAGGTATAATCACGCGGCTAAAATCACAACATCGCGTAGGCGGTAGTCACCGTCTAACCACGCTGCTTTGTATCATTACAAATGTGATGCCGCTGGCCCGCCCAACGTACTTCAGCCAGTCCGTATACTACCGATTATACTCCTATTTTTTCGCTTACTACTAATTCCACTCTACATATATATATATATATATATATATATATATATATATATATATATATATATATATATATATATATATATATATATATATATATATATATATTCCAACCACATTTCATTGGGCCATACATAGTTTTGAAACAGACTTCGCCGGCCAATCATCGTGGGACACCACTTGTCGCCTCAAGAGACCGCTCTTACCGCAGCACCGAGATTGTCTATGCTCCTCGCATGAAACCTATCACGCGACGTTCCTCGTCACTTTAACTTACGGCAGCCAGGATGTCCACTTCCAAGTGGGGAAAATTAGTGTGAGCGTTTGTTATTTACTTCGTCCTGATCATGATGATAATAACCGTCATCCGCTTGTCTCTTTGTCCTCATCACCATTGTGTGTCATCATCATTCATCGTCATCGTCTGTGTGCAGGCTCTGCCCATTTGTTTTGCGAGGTCTTGCCTTGAATAAACGCTATCGCAACCGAGAATATATATATATATATATATATATATATATATATATATATATATATATATATATATATATATATATATATATATATATATATATATATATATATATAATTTTTAAGGCGTCACAGCTTCTTCTACAAGGCGCCATTCATAGGAAACTCTCTGAAATGAGGCAACACAGCTACCGAGAAGTCCAATTCCGAAAGTGGTTAGGATCACAAAAAAATAACATGGTGATGGACGATGTGTATCCGCTTCTAATACATTGTGGGTTTTCACGTTCGCTTCCTTACCCGTACGCCGTGAAGAACATAACCCGCGCATGCGTAGACAGTTCTGGAGCGTTGTAGTGTTTGAGCAGGAATACGCAAAGAGCCAAGCTTGCAGTCCACGCTCTCGACGCGTACTGGCCGCACGTCACCAGGAATACAGCCACGTGACCCAACAGGCTGTGTGGAGATTGAAGTAGCCACAGCAGCACGCCTACACCCTTGAAGACCTGTGCAATAAATGTTGTTGTACCACTTCGTTATAAAAACGTTTAGGCTGTCGTCAATACACTCCAATAGAGCATTCGGGTGAAGGTGGTATTCCGTCTTCACTGCACTCGTATTATCAAAAGCTGTATGGCACGAAATCTATTTTTCTTAATTGAAAAAAAAAGAGTCGACTTGCCTTGTTACGACACGTCATTGTCAGAACCTTTAGGACAGCAGCTATGCGGAACACGTCGCGGTAAAATTGGGTGGGCATTTATTAGATGCGAAGCGTCTCAGGGTCGAGCTCAATCCGGTGTGCGGCGTGGCCACCCTTAGAGCGCATGCGCGTCCCCTTCCCTTCCATCTGCTCTCCTACGCTCCCCCTCTCTCACCTCGCAACACCGACTCAAGCAGCGTCGGCTAGCGAGTTTCTTCGTTGATGACAACGGCTATTCGCGCTTTAAAACCGTTCACTGGCCACGGCGTATATATAGGCACTGCATCTTAACATCCAAGATAGTGCCGGTGGGAAATTGTTTCTGTGCGTAGTTCAACAAAACGATAAAAACTCGCAGCGTGCGCGTTAACTTACAGTGGACTGTGGGTACCTGTGTCCAATTGGAGTCTTTTCTCTCTCATATCTCATTAACAGCGATTGTCATGTTTGAGCAAGAAACACTCCTGCGTAATGCCGTGATGAGCGGCCACGTCAGCGCCGTCACGACTGTAAGCGTTAGGGCACGCTACTTTGCATCTACGCATGGTTCCCTTTAGCGGAATATGGCGTCATTTTTCGTAAACATATGGTAAGTGGCACAAGCATTCATTCTTCTCTTACAAGGACTGAAGCGAGCATCCGGCATCATCAGTCCACGGTAAGCTTTGTTTCGAGGGGCTGCAGGTATAGAATTCAGTTTGTACTCTTCCATGTAGCAACTCAGGTCTTTCGACAAAAATTTTTTTATCAATGATGACATGAACAGCCCAAGAAAGCAAATAATAGGACACGTGAGAAACCCGCTTACTACACAAGCGTACAATCAAAGAGTAAGCCACTTTTCTTATTCTAGCACATTCTGGCATGCTGCTACCTAAATACAAGCTCCTCTTTCATGTCGTACCCACTGTTCTTCAAAAACACTTGCGAAGCATACATATGTATGCTACAATTCTTCTCCTGAAGAGGCCTTCTTGATTGCCCCGTAGTCTTTGCGAAGAGCCCCCGCCAGCTGGTCTGCAAGGACGTTTTCAGATGATATAGATTTCCGACCTGGGACGTCTCCTCCGGAATGCTTCCATAAGACGCTGAGTATTGGAAATCTATAAACTTGGCGAACACATTGGTAGAAGGCAAGTCAGCCTCCAATCAAGAAATGACGCCATCGGTATCGTGGCTTCCACTCATTCACCCTTTCCATCGTTTCCTGTCATCCCAACATCCAGCAACGCCTAAAACCAAGGAGGGAGAAAGCCAATAAACATTTGCCCTTCAATCGCACTTTCCCTGCATCTACCTCCGTCATCAAAGTCAAATTATATTGCAGCATTTGACTGATGCACGTTCTTCTAGTCAAGTGCCCTGTTTAGGGAGACTATTGTGTGTATTTCCCAATTGACTCAATTGGCAACCTTATTGCATCACTTGTAAACAAGATCATCAATGACGCTTTCAACTGAAGAAAAATGTGCTACTACACCACGAGTACAGCTCAAACTTTCCCTTCACGTTTGAAAAGATGCAAAGAATGAAAGCCTAATCTTCGATCCTAATGTTGAATTGGACCACGGTGATACCCGCCGTTCGGTGTGAAAGTAAAACAAAAATACCCTGTTTTCGCAATCTGCGTTATTTTTCTTGCCCGGTGATTGGCATTGTAATTTACAAAGGACATTTCTTCTACGCGGCCATGGTTTTTGACATGCGTAAGAACATAACTTCATGTTTTCGCTGAGAGCTGCTACACTTGACCAAGAAGGCCCCACCTCCGTATTGCTCCTGCATCTCATCATCTGAGGGAGATACGTAGCGGCCTCGCGAGAAGCTTACGTATTGTCTCGTCTATGCTGTTTTTTTGCATAAGCTGTAATAGAAGTGAAGTAGGCTGCGAGTGTGCCAGTTTTAGAGTTTCATGTCGTGTATACACTAGGACAGAATCACCGTTACCCACAACAGCTTGGCGCATGAACCAGTAAAAAGAGCCCAGCTCAAAAAGCACAACTCTGAATGACTGAGAGATGTTGCAATGGCCCCACACAAAGTAAATGATAGTATAAAATTTTGAAGGGCTCGTTTCTATGTCTGACGTAACGTTAAGGAAAGTGCTGCTGGTTTTGACCAACATTGTGACACAAGGGGTAATAATTCTTGCACTATCCGCTGCGAATTTACAGGGTACACTTTACTACGGTAGTTAGGCCCGCATATTGTTAGTCATTGTACGTCCTAGGTGTCCTTTAAAATAATCTAGACGTATGCCAGAATGTTTCAGGTATACGTAATTGAAGCGCCTACATTTAACTGATGTACGGGTTGCTTCGCTTCGAGATGCTTTATTGTACCCTAATAATTTCTTTCATATCACATAAAAAATTATTTTTTGACCTATATTTGGTACTTCCGAAGTTATAAGTCTCAAATGGGTAAGTCCTTAAATTCGGGAGCATGCATTAAAGTATTCGCTTTTATGGGCCGAAAAAGAAATAAAGCCAGGCACGCCTTTCAACTAATGGCGACTGCACTGAATTAGGTTTGAACGCCACTATCATACTAGTGTTCATAGAATATTGACAGAAAGATATGTAATGAACAGAGGGTACTGACTTACTACGTGCTCTAGATGAAGTTTAGCGTGCTTATAGCATAACACTAATGTCTATCGGGCAAGTAGTAGTAAGGAAATGGCAAAGGTTGTTCAAGGAAAGCTGCACCGACTAACAGCTGACAGCGTAGTGGTGCGTCAAACTATAATTGTTTACAGCAAGTACAATTTTCGCTTCCCTTGTTCGTAAGTAATAATTGTTCTTAAGTGATCTACTGGAACGGCCACTGGAAATGGTTGCGTTATGCTGTTTAAGATTTTAAAGCCACTCAGACTACCAGAAACGCCGTAGCGGAGGTCTCTGGACAATTTCGACCACCGTGGATTCCTAAATGTGGGCTAACATCACACTTCGCAGCATTTCGCCCATCAAAATTGTTATATGCTCTCTATGGAGAGTGTCCGGATGGGCGATTTTCCGAAAGAGAGTTGATCTACAACTTAAAGAGGTGGTGAGTCAGGACTAACCAAACACGGTAACAAATATTTTTTCCCTTTTCTATGGAGAATAATGCGCTTTATCCATGCCGTAAAAACTACCCGTCATTTTGACGGCCACCTCCTGACCAATTTTTCCAAATGGCTGGCGTCACATGAAGAAAACGTCAGAATCACTGTCTGCAGCAGTGCAAAGGAAAACGAGAAAGATGATCGAGAAAACCAGTGCACCTTGGTTATTTGCTGCTAGGTTACCTCACCAGGCGCAACACAAAACGGGATTTAAAAATGTTGGCCTGCGCGATCCTCAAGTTCAAAAGGTTTTAAGTAGAGCTGCTAAGAATTTTCGGTAATTGTGAAGGATTTTTCTTACTGTGATAAATGGGACCACAATGCATGCAACAAGAGCTCGCCACACGTTGTTTTTTGCATTCCACTCTCGCTGAAACGCTTCTCAAAAAACTCAGCCTCGTTCCACACTGCATAACGTAATGGTCACTGATAAGCCGGGATTGATTTAGTATGTTGAGACTTGATATATTGAGACTTGTCCTTGCTTTTCTCTATTTCACGTGGACCACCTTCTCACTTTCTTGTGACGTGCTTTACTGCTCGCCGCAGGCCATGATTAAACTTGCATGCTGTTTCTCAAATGACACCCATTGTTTCACAAACGTTGCATGCCCGATTAGTGTGTTTGAGTGCCTTTCGAATTATGCTTGACCATGAGTGATAACAGCCCCGCCGAGGTGGTCTAAGGGCTAAGGTACTCAGCTGCTGACCCGCAGGTCGCGGGATCTTATCCCGGCTGCGGTGGCTGCCTTTCCGATGGAGGCGGAAAGGATGTAGGTCCGTGTGCTCAGATTTGGGTGCACGTTAAAGAACCCCAGGTGGTCGAAATTCCCGGAGCCCTCCACTACGGCGTCTCTCATAATCATATGGGTGTTGATGATTGATTTATTGATTGATTGATATGTGGGGTTTAACGTCCCAAAACCACCATATGATTATGAGAGACGCCGTAGTGAAGGGCTCCGGAAATTTCGACCACCTAGGGTTCTTTAACGTGCACCCAAATCTGAGTACACGGGCCTACAACATTTGCGCCTCCATCGGAAATGCAGCCGCCGCAGCCGGGATTCGAACCCGCGACGTGCGGGTCAGCAGCCGAGTACCTTAGCCACTAGACCACCACGGCGGGGAAATCATATGGGTGTTAAACACCACATATCAATCAAATCAATGAGTGATAACACTGGAATGTGCATCAACGCATGTATGCAAATTGAACTTAATTTGTTGTTATTGCCTGTAAAAAACTGGGTTACACAGCATGAGAAAGTTCTCAAGTAAAAAAAAAGCTGTCAGGGTGACCTTGTGTGATCAGCAGGGCAAAGAAAAGGTAACAGCAGCAAAAGCTAAAAGCCCCAAAAAAGAATGCAATGAATGCAGACCCATATATACTAAAGACGAAAGCAGATACATTACTATAGTAGCATTACACACAACTCAGTAATACACATAAGTTGGAATAGAAAACAATGAAATGATGATAAAAATAATTTTTTTACCGACGAAGAAAAAAAGACTCGCATCACCGTATGTTTTTCACGTTGTTCATAAATGATTTCAATGGCCGAGACGACTTAACATGAAGACGATGTGATTCCAAAGATGAATACCATAGAAGTGACCTGCAAATCATCCGTAGTTCGATATTATTTTAGGTAAAACGAGGTTGTTATTCTCTGAAAACTTGGTGT